AGAAATATCTTTCAACAATAAAAAATCCAACCGAAAGGAAAGCACTCACAAAATTTCGAGTGAGCAACCACAAATTAATGATTGAGTTAGGTCGCTATCAAAAAATACCAAGGGAAGAACGACTGTGTGAAATCTGCCAGTCAGGGGAAGTGGAAGATGAATACCATTTTGCAAATTCGTGTAAAGCCTACAGCAACCAAAGAGAGAATTTTTACCCCACTCTCAGAAACAAGCTAACCATTATCATAGATCAGGCACAATTAGTAGATATAATGAAATCTACAGAGCACGAGACTATTTTATCTCTGTCGAAATATATTTCTTCCTGTTTTACGGAAAGAAATAGATACCTTGAAATTGGGATTGCTGTCAGTTAATTATTAACATACTATTTCTCTAATCTTAGAAACTTGAATGAAAATTTTTCCTATATCTTGTAAATAGATCTTATTGGTTATCTGTTATTTGTTATTGGGATTGACTATATAGTTATTGTAATGCATGTACTTCTTACTATTTGTAAACTTGGAATTTCTACCTTTTTACTATATTTAGACTATTTGTATTTAGATTATTTATATTTAGATTATTATGCTTTAGCAATACCTGTAATTTAAGGTCATGCCAATAAAGCTATTATAAATTGTGAATTGTGATACAGCTCGTTATTTAAAACATAATGGTGTTTGTTTCATCAAAATCGGTCAAGGCAATAAAGAATTACGGCAATTTGAATATCGGAATTTTAGTCCAATTTTTGGAAGAGCGACACTGTATAAATGCAGAGGAAGAATGTGGGTCTTCTCGAAATGCAACGAGCAAATCAGTGCGGCTTATTATTATTCAAGATATTTATTCTCAACGCGCCGGTCGATTAAAAACTGTTGAAATATATTGCGATTTTTGCTGTGAAGATCTCGTTTTCTCAAAGGTAGATGTTTTGATAACTTTTCCGTTTAGTAATTTAATAAAAGAAGTTTTGAATAATTGTGTATATATATCGCATTTTACTTATTTTAAATTCCATTGTATTTATGCATGTTTTGGGTCAATGAACATGACCTTCAAAGTGGCATTGAAATATTCTGGAGTAAATTGTACTCTTTCACAAGGAAACTAAAATAAAATCACATGAGTGAATTCAGGAATGTTTACTCTTTATAATGATATGAATTTACTCCATAAAACCGAAAAGTTATCGCGGGTTGAAAATGAGCTATTTTTGCTATATTCAATAATTTATAGAATTATGCAAAAATAGCTCATTTTCAACCCGCGATAACTTTTCGGTTTTATGGAGTAAATTCATGTTTTAAAAAATTCATGTTTTTTTAATTCTAAAGGACCGTTTTGGGAGACCCCAACAAATAATCACAGCCCATATGGATGAGATCCTGAAATTACCAGCATGCACCAGTGAACGATTGGCTTCACTACGCTTTGTATATGACAGTCTTAGTGTGACGGGGTCCGCTACAGTCCCTTGGCATATCGTCAGATCAGTATGGCAGTCTTTTGATACCCATCATAATGGCAAAATTACCGAATGATATTCGACTTGAAATAGCAAGAAAGTCTGCCGGTGGTGTGTGGAAAATCGATGAATTATTGAACACAATTAAGTTTGAAGTGGAAGCACGGGAGGCTAGTGAAGCAGCTAAGACAAGTACCAGTGGCCCCTACAATCAAAGAAATCAAGATGGCAATCGAAGTCGTGCCAGAGATCCAACAGCAACTGCATTGTTTGCAGCACAAGGTGGCATGAAGGGCAAAATACAGTGTGTTTATTGTGGCGAATATCATTATTCGGCTTCATGTGAGAAAGTCACGAGTATCGATGAACGAAAGGGAATTTTAAGACGGGATAGACGGTGCTTTGTGTGTTTGCAACGAGGTCATCGGGCAAGAGAATGTAACAAGGTCAATAATTGTAGGAAGTGTCGAGGATCACACCATCAATCGATTTGTGCAACAGATCACCCAAGGCATGAAAACAAGGAGAAACCAGCAGACCAGAACGCGGAAGGTGCAACAGCAAAGAGTGAGACATCTTTAAACAAACCCGAACAAGTTATAAGTACGACGGTCAACACAGGACACATAGTCAGGGGTGCAACCCAAGTCTTACTACAGACAGCAACTGTCTATGCTCTTAACACAGAGAATTCCAGAAGTGTAAAGTTAGGGTTCTCTTTGACTCAGGAAGTCAGCGAAGTTATGTCACTAGTAGTTTAAAATCGAGATTAGGTCTGTCTACCAGGAAAAGGGAAACAGTGCATTTGAACACGTTTGGTGAAGAACAGTTTAAGAAACAAAGTTGTGAAATGGTTGAGCTAGGCATTCAAGGATTGGACGATGTTTTTACCATTGAAGTGAGAGCCCTAGCATTTCCAGTTATATGTTCACCAGTTGCTACACGAGTGGATATAGCGGAGTTTCCACAACTGGATGGACTTGAATTTGCAGACGAGATTAATGGTGCGAGTGAAACAATTGATATTTTATTGGGGGCAGATTATTATTACGAAGTTGTGACGGGAGAAATCATTAAGGGAGAGATGGGTCCGACTGCTGTTCAGAGTAAATTTGGTTGGTTACTTACAGGCCCTGTCAAGTTATGTGCTGCTGTACCCACCTACACAGTTTCTAACTTGGTCATCGATGGCCATGGAACTACTCGTCCACCTGAGAATGAGATTCGCACGTTGAGTAATGCGCTTAAGAGATTTTGGGATTTGGAATCCTTGGGTATAACCGAGACAAACGAAAGAAACGAAAGGAAGTTTTTGGAGGACATCAAGTTCGAGGGTCAACGGCACGAAGTCGGGCTGCCCTGGAAGGAGGATCAAAGGCAGTTGGTAACCCGTGATTTGGAACCTTGTACTGGTCGTCTACGATCGTTGGTCAGCAGACTCAAGAAGGATCCAGAGCTTCTATCCGAGTATAACCAATAATTCAAGATCAGTTACAAAGCGGGATTGTAGAAAGAGTTCCATTAAATGCGCTTGACACTACTGGAGCTCATTACCTATCTCATCATGGTGTTGTGCGAAGCGAGAAGGAAACGACAAAGCTATGAGTAGTATTCGATGGAAGTGCGAAGGAAAACGAAAGTAAACAGTCCATAAATGATCATTTGGACACGGGTCCAAATTTCATACCATCATTATTTGACACCTTGGTAAAATTTCGATATTACCCGATCGCACTAACTGCAGACATTGAAAAGGCATTCCTGCAAATCGAAATAAAGCCAGAAGATCGAGACAAGTTAAGATTCTTGTGGATGGACGACCCATTCAATGAGACGGACAAGCTACTGCATTTAAGATTTTGTCGTTTAGTTATCGGGCTGAAACGAAGTCCTGCTATCTTGGGAGCAACAATTAACTATCACCTCGAAAAACACAAGGAAACTGAACCCGAGGCTGGGCAAGCTTTACAGGATTTGTATGTGGATGATTTACCGACTGGAGCCGCGAGTGAAGAAAAGGCTTTTGAAATCTACGAATCAACGAAGCGTGTTATGAAAAGTGGCGGATTTAACCTTCGGAAATGGAAGTCTAACTCGAAGGCATTAAGCGATCGAATTGGCGAATGTGAGGCGATCAGTGCATCTAAATCAGAAGATTTACCCGAGAAAGCAAGCGTAATTGAAGACGATCGTACTTACGTTGAAACTGTCGTGGAACCGCAAGTTGTTGACGAGAGCAAGACAAAGATATTAGGGCTTAGTTGGGACACAAAAGAAGACGAACTTTTTTTCGAGTTTTCCGAGATAACAAGTTACGCGAAGCAACTTCCTCAAACCAAGCGATCGGTATTAAAAACTGCAGCAAAGTTTTTCGACCCTATTGGGTTTCTTAGTCCTGTGACAGTGAGAAATTGGGTGGGATAACGGTACCGCGATGCTATTTTGTTCCGATGATGAAGATTGTACAAGTTCAGTTACACGGATTCTCCGATGCTAGTGAACGTGCGTTTGCGGGAGTTGTTTATGTACGAACAGTTTACGAAGATGGAGTAATCGTCGTGCGTCTAGTCGCAGCCAAGTCTAGGGTTTCTCCAATGAAGCAACAAACAATTCCTCGTTTGGAGTTACTCGGTGCCAATATTTTAGCTCGATTGTCAAGTTCCGTGAATAATGCTCTAGCGAATAAAGCGGAGAACTGCGTAGTTTTCATTGGACAGATTCTTCAGCTGTTCTGTGCTGGATTAAAAACGAGAAGAGCTGGAAGCAATACGTAAATCAACGTGTTAAGGAAATTCGAAATTTGACGGATAAAGAGTCATGGAATCATTGTCCCGGTGCAATGAATCCAGCCGATCTACTATCGCGAGGTATACGAGTTGACGAGATGGTTTCCAATCCCCTTTGGTGGAATGGACTTGCATTTTTACAACGACCTGAGGAAGAATGGCCTAAACTGGGGTATCAGGAAGAAATCGATAAGGCAGCAGAGGATGAGGTCGTCAAACAACCAAAAACTGTCACGCATGTGCTGGTTGGAGCTGTTAGTTCTCAAATCCCAGACGTGGCCTCTGTGATTGATTGTGATCGATTCAGTGATAAATTGAAGTTTCTGCGAGTAACCGCATGCATACGTCAATCGGTTTATTTTCCTTTTGAAGAGCAGAGTTAAGGGAACCAACGAACAGGCAATTGCTCACGGTTTGAACCTTTCTGCGGCCGAAATTTTAAGAGCTGAAAATATGTGGATCCGGAGTGTTCAAGAATCGAGCTTCGCGGAAGAATTGAAATACTTGCGAAGTAAGTCGAAAGCATCGTCCCCGCCGAATGTTCGGAACTTAGGACTGTATGTCGATCAAGATGATATGTTAAAATGTAACGGTAGATTAAACAATGCGCCTTTCCTCGAATCAGAAAAACGACCGATACTTCTCCCATCCAAACACTATTTCACAAAATTGACAATTCGAAAGGGTTCACGAAGATGTTAAGCACAGTGGTATCAATCACACGTTATCAACGTTGCGCGAAAGGTTCTGGGTGTTGCGAGGACGAGAAACCGTGAAACGAATTCTAAGAGAATGCGTAGTAGCACCGTAGGTCCACAACCAACGCCAGATTTACCCAAAATCAGAGTCGATGACGCTCCACCATTCGCGAACGCTGGATTAGATTTTTTGGGTCCGTTGTAGGTAGGTAGGTAGGTAGGTAGGTAGGTAGGTAGGTAGGTAGGTAGGTAGGTAGGTAGGTAGGTAGGTAGGTAGGTAGGTAGGTAGGTAAAACTTTATTTAAACACGCTAACCCCTTCAATACAAATTGATTTCCAAGGGGGGCGTGGTGAAAAAATTTAATAATAATAAACAACAAGACACGTATATATAAAGTTAAATATTTACAAACTAGTAGATCGTGACAGGCTAGTTGCACATAAAAGCGAGTTAAAAATTCCTAGCCTTTCCGCGTTTCTACCTTCAATAGGTAAATCGTTCCACAATTTAACACCATTGAAACTTATACTCTTTTTTAAATATTCCGTTTTAGGAAAAGGAAAATTTAGCTTCATGTCAGAATTACGTAAATTGTAGTCATGAAATCTGAGAACTGAAGCACTAGAAAATATTTCAGTAAGCGCAGTAGGTGCAAAACCATGAATAATCTTATACATGAGTCTGGCTTTAGATTCAAATTTCCACCCGAGCGCAGTCAAAGCAGCTTCTGAGCATCCGTGCTCATTTGGGTAACCCATAATTATTCTTGCTGCCCGATTTTGAACAGTCTGCAATTTATCAGATAAAACACTGCCAATCGGATCCCACACCTCACAACAATAATCAAAATATGTTTGAACTAAAGCGTTGTAGACAGAAATAAGAGTATTTCTGCATACAAACGTTTTAGCCTAGAAATCGCTCCAATGCCACTAGAAATTTTCTTTGTCAATTTCTCAATATAAAAATCCCGAGAGAGAAATTGGTCAATATGAATTCCTAGAGACTCAGTCACTATCACTCGGTTCAAAAGTTTACCATCAACAGAAATACAAGGATTATCAACAAGATTATTGATGCTGTGTCGACTGGATCCTATTAGCATATATTCCGTTTTGCTAAGGTTCAAACAAAGCTTATTAGCCATTAGCCAATCGTTAACATTATTTAAATCATGATTCAAAGCAGACGAAATTTCATGTGTGAATTTGCCACACACAGTGAGCGTCGTATCATCTGCAAACATCCTCGATGCACAGTATTTTAAACAATTAGGCAGATCGTTAATATACACTAAAAAGAATAGTGGCCCCAAAATCGATCCCTGAGGAATTCCACACTTAATCGGTTTAGAATGAGATAATGTACAATTTATAAAGCATTTTTGTGACCGATTTGTTATGTATGATTCAAGTAACCCCAATAAATGCCGTGTTACCCCATACATATTTAGCTTTTCAATCAAGATTTCATGATCAATGGTATCAAAAGCTTTTTTAAGATCTAAAAAAGCAACAATATTAAGCAAACCTTTATCCATATTTGAATACCATTAATTAGTGCTATCAAGAAGAGCCGTAGTTGTAGAGTGATATCGTCTGAAACCGAATTGACATTTCGAAAGTATGCTAGCATTGGATAAATAGCCATGTAATTGCTCATAAAGTATACTTTCAAAGGCCTTGCTGATAGCTGGAAGGATAGAGATTGGGCGATAATTATCCAACAAATTTTTGGGACCTTTCTTATGAAGAGGTATAACCTTGGCTACTCCAATCGCGAGGAAAGACCCCATTCTGAATTACATAATTAAATAATTTAGTGATAGATGGCGCTATAATGGCTATAGAAAGTTTCAATACTTTTATTGGAATTTTATCAACTCCGATTGCCTTAGAGGAGGATAAAGCATGAAATGAATGTAAAACTTTATCAACAGATACAGTATCAAACTCAAAAGTCGTGGATGATTTACTTATGTATGAACTAAAGTGAGTATTTCCAGAATCAACGGAATTTGCAATTTTGTCTCCGATAGTAGAAAAATATTCATTGAAAGTCTCAGCTATTTCATTAGAACCAGAAATAATGTTATCATTTTGTCTAATGCTAGATATAGAGGATTTATTATGGCCTCGCCCAAGGATTCGATTTATAGCTTGCCAACTTTCTTTCGGATTGTGTTTGTATTTATAAAGCAAATTACTATAATATAATTGCTTATCCTTTTGTAAAGTGCATGAAACAACGTTTCTGGCCGTCTTGTATATGCATTCCAATCTAAAGTGGAATTGGATTTTATTCCCTTCAATTTAAGTTTATCCCTTTCAAACATTAATTTCTTAGAATTTTTACTCAACCAAGGGATATTACTTCGGGTTCTTACTCTTTTCATCCTAAGAGGGGCATGTACAACAAGAACTGCCAGAAACAAAGTTTTCCACAAACACCATTTAGAGTCTACGTCATCCTCACTGTCTAAAAGATCCCATGGCTGAGATAAAAGATATCCGACAACGCGACGACGTTCAAATCTGCGTCCAAGGACGTAGAACGGATTTGTAGATCCAAGGAAGTTCAGGACTTTCTCGTAGGTCGAGGCGTGACATGGCAATATATCGTGGAAAGAGCCCCTTGGTGGGGTGGTTTTTGGGAACGACTCGTGCGAAGTGTTAAGATTGTTCTCAAGAAAATCCTCTCGATTATGACGAACTGTTAACTGTGCTTATAGAAATTGAAGGAATAATCAACGCACGGCCAATAACTTACGTTTACGACGACGAATAATCGGTTTCCTATGCGCTCTCACCGTAGCAATTAATTAACGGACGACGTATTTGTTCAAGACCAAACAGCCAACATTACGAGATCGTTAGCACAAACGCATCGTTAACCAAAAGAGCCAGGCGTCACAAGCAGATCTTGTGTCAGTTTACAACGAGAACGGAAAATCCGACGTGTTAAGAAGGTCTATTCAACATCTAGTGCCTCTTGAAGTTAGTCAAGATTCCAACGTAGACGAGATCAAACGGAACCAAAATGAGAAATTGACGGTTGTGGAAGATTCAAGAGAAAACCGCGGTCGACCTCGACGTGCAGCAGCGATTGCCAATGAACTTTTAAGAGGAGAACTCTTGAAGAATAAGTTACTTTAATCAAAATTGTTCTATTCGTTAATTAGTTCTGTTTACATTAAGTAACCAGCCCGGGGAGTGTAAAGAACATTACTACGAGGCCTGCACGCAGGCGACGATCTGAACCTAAACTCGGGCCAGTCACGTGACTGAGCACATTGTTTTTGAGAACGAACACTTTCGATATGTTTTGTAAGTTTGTATATTTGTATTAAAGTGTGTTTGTCGAAGAAATATATGGATTATGTAAACAAAGTTTCGGCTATAATTCATTACAGTCATGTTCATAGACCCAAAACATGCATAAATACAATGGGAATTTAACATAAGGAAAATGCGATATATACAGCTATTTCAATTAAGGTTGTCCACGAGCAAAGCGGAAAAGTCGAATACGAGCTCGAAAGGCTGCTGGGAATCGCTTTGAAAATTCATTAATTTGCTAGCGATTCCCAGCAGCCTTTCGCGCTCGTATTCGACTTTTCCGCTTTGCTCGTGGACAACCTTAATTGAAATAGCTGTATACACAATTATTCAAAACTTCTTTTATTAAATAACTAAACAAAAAAGTTATCAAAACATACCTTTGAGAAAACGAGATCTTCACAGCAAAAATCGCAATATATTTCAACAGCTTTTACTCGACCGGCGCCTTCAGAATAAATATCTTGAACAAAATGAGCCGCACTGATTTGCGTGTTGCATTTCGGGAAGACCCTCATTCCTCCTCTGGTATAAATGTATTACATTTGGGTGTGAAATGTGGCACCAGAATGCTTGGTTTTAAGCTGATTTTTTAACATGTAAGCTCATAACTTCTAGACATTTCATCCAATCACCCCAATATTTTCAGAGTATATTGGTGACATACACAGCAACAACATAGTGTAACAGTTGGACACTTATCGTTGCCATGGAAACCGTATGACGTCATGAAATGACAAAGAAAAAACACAGAAACTGAAATTATATAATTTATTACTTAAAAACCTGATTACAAAAGTGTTGTATGACATGTTATATGTCAAATAAGTAATACTAGTTGATAAAATGTTACAAAACTGCGTTACCATGGAAATATGATGACGTCATAACGACGTCATAGCTATAAAAAATATGCATTTAAATACATATTTTTTCATCACAAAACATTAATCTTTAAAAACTAAGTGTGTGTCGGATAGCATTACATGCTCAACAACATGACAGACAACACCGTTCAGTTACCATGGTAACCATGTGACGTCATTTTTATGTACATTTTAATTGCAACATTTTGTGTATCTTTGCTGAAAATTTACTTAAAATTAACTTATTGAAATATTTTGATAGTTTCATTATTGTACAACCTACCAATCCTAAACACTCGTTACATAGACTGTTCCCATGACAACGCTACAAATCCGATGATATCCCAATCATAGAGATTATAAATAACACTGGAGGAGGCATCGAGGTTAAAAATTGGGAATGCAGCTAATGGGGGGCAAATTCAAGTCCCGGATATAAAATCGTGCTCTCATTGGCGGATTTGAAACTCGTCACCAATGGGAACGTGAATACACATCCGGGACTTGAATTTGCACCCCAATAGCTGCGTTCCCTTTTTTAACTGAATTAAGATTACAATGCCTCCTCTAGTGTTATTTATAATCTCTATGGTCCCAAATACATCACTAATGACGTCATACTACCATTGATAACTTACTCATGTTGAGAAGGAAATCAATTATTTTTCAAGAGTCATAGTATTTACTGTAACACTAATTTATCAATCAAAGATACAGTTTCGACAACAAAAACTCCTGAGCTATATATCGAGTTGGAGTGCTTGTTCATTTATTGGTAACAGGAGTTGTTTTAGTTCGT